TTTTTCAAATAAAGAAGTACAAACAGCCAAAAAATACTGAAAAATTGTTAATCATCCTTAGCCATCAGAGAAATGCAAAACAAAACAACCAACTTCATCTCAGTCAGAATGGCTATCATCAAGAAAACAACTAAATGCTGGTGAGGATGAGGGCACTGGGGGTAGAGAAACTTTTATTCACTGCTAGTGGGAATATAGTCCAGGCTCTATGGAAATCAGGAGGAAAATTCCCATATAATCAAGCCATAACACTTCTGTTTATATACCCAAAATAACCAAAGTTAGCTTAATATAGAGATAGCTGCATACCATGTTTATCATGGCACTATTCATAACAGCCAAATTGTGGAATCAGTATAGGTGCCCATCAATGAATGAATGAATAAAGAAACTATGGTATATTTACTCAATGGAGTTTTACTTAGCCATTAAGAATGAAACTATGACATTTCCTAGAAAATGTATGGAACTAGAGATCATTATGCTAAGTGAAGTAAGTCAGTGTGACAAAGAAAAGCACATTATTTTTTTTCCCCCATTTGTTAGGGGAAACAAAGCAAACAAATAAAAGTAAAAGGCAGACTACTAGGAAGATTGAGGGGGAAGAGCTGAGGGGGAGGTTGGAAGAGGGATTAGAAACAATGATAGATGGAGTAGACATGATCAAACTACATTATGTGCATGTACAGAAATGTCATGATGAAACCCATTAGTATGTACAATTTAATATACATCAATTAAATAAGATTTCGAGTTAAACTCAATTTCATTAATCTTATACCTAATTTTTAAAATTATTTTATTATTTTCATAACTGTAAGACTGACTTTATGAAACTATATTATTGTCACACAAGAATGCAGTTGGAGAATTATTGAATTTTAAACAAAATCAGTCAAAAATACTTATTCCCTGTCTCTGTCTCTCTCACACACACAAATTTTGAGAATTTCAAAAAAAAGGGCTTTAAAAATAGTAAATTTTGCATATTTCCATCAGGAAATTTAACTGATTTGTAAGAATCAATGGTATTTTGTGTAATCAAAAGGAAAAAATGACAAGCCTAACAACAGAAAACTAGTTTCACGAAAGGCAAATTTGTTTTCCAACCCTAACTGAGCAGCCCTCACTGGATTGGCTGAGCAATGGCCTAGTTTTGTCTCTACTTCAGTGGCTGAACACTGGACTTGCAGGAGGTGGCATTGGCCTAATCAATTCTCTTGCTACTGGTGCTCAATCTCACTTTGATATGACTGCTGGGCTAATAACACAGGTCCCTAGTAGTATTTTTTATTGTTGTGCTGGGTAGGGGTACATTGTGGCATTTACAAAAGCTATTAGAATATATCAAATACATCATACTTGAATTCACTCCCTACACCATTTTCCTTTATCATCCTTCCCCCAATTCCTGGAATAGCTTCAACAGGTATCATTCTTCCATTTACATACATGTGTACACAGTATTCGTACTATATTCACCTTCCCATGCCCTTTATCCTGCTCTTTCCCCCTCCCACTGGTACCACCCCCAGCCCCAGGCAGGACCTGTTCCACCTTCCTATTTTCTGATTTTGCAAATGGAAAAAAAAATGCATTTTGTTTGTTAAAGATAGCTACACAGGGAGTTTCCTTGTGATATTTCCATATTTGTATGTATTATAGCCCAAATTGGTTCATCTTCCCCCATTTTTCTTCTTTCTACCTTAGTCCCCTTCTTATGGTGGTTTCTACAGGTTTAAAAATTCTATATTCATTCTTGTATACAGTACATCAAATATATTCACCTTCTTGACTTCCTTCTTTTACCCTTCCCCTCTCGTATGTGACCTTCCCTTAGCTTGACCTGTTTTCCATAATATTATTGTATTTGTATTAGGTCTATATGCCACACATAAGAAAAAACATGCAGCTTTTGGTCTTCTGAACCTGGCTAACTTCACTTAAGATGACATTCTCCAGTTCCATCCATTTCCCTGCAAACAACCAAATTTCATTTTTCTTTGTGGCTGAATAAAATTCCATTGAAAAAAAGTCCATATTTTCTTAATCCATTCATCGGTAATGGGGCATCTTGGCTATTTCCATAGCTTGGCTATTGTGAATAATGCTGCAATAAACACAGGTGTGCAGTTGCCTTTCTGTTACCTGACTTATATTTCTTCAAATATACCCTTACAAGTGGAGTTGCTAGATCACATGGCAGTTCTACTTTTAGTTTTTCAGGGCCTCCATACTGTTTTTCATAACTGAAGTATTAGATTTCCCCATCATTTAAACACATACACACACACACATACACACACACACCACTGAGTTTTTTCCAAAGAATTTTTCCCGAGTTTACTTTTGGATTCATAAGACAAGTGCTTTGAGGATTACAAGTCAAACCTTTCTGCTATAAATCCTTTAACAAAGTCTATAAACAGTTATACCTGTAACTGTCACAGATCCCATGAAGTAACTATCCAGTTTCTTAGTATCAGCATATAGTCAGAATTGCATCTTTCCTTTCTCATGATAAGATACATATGTCTCCAGAAAAATAATGCCATATGGTAAAAATTAATGAATATTCAACAATACAATAAACTCCACAAGATTATATCCTTAATAGTAGAAATTGGGAGGTAATATAGCTGGTAATGAATTCCCAGACCCACAGGAGGCCTGGCTGTCTCTCTTTCTGCTCATTTTATAAGATATACAATCATACAACTCTTAGTATTTTATGTTTTTTGTACCATTTATAGAATTGAATTAGGAATGTCCCATCAGTCTTATTTGCTCCTTTCTAAGAATAATCATTATTTAGCCATTCTATGGTGTCCTTTTTTAGGGTCCTTCACCACCACCTTTTCCCTCACATACATTGTTACTTACTTCCTAGGGAAGGACTAATGGTACCTAGCCCAGTCTGCTCCCCCTCAGACAACCTTCAACCTCTTTTCAACTGCTCTTTCATTTAAACTTACTCTCTGCCTGATTTTCCAAGGCATCATTCTCATTTACTATTGAACAGGGAAAATCCAGAAATCTTATTTACTTTATGTTGTTAACAGCTGTGAGGAATTAGGTTTTTGCCCCCCCTAACACAGGTCTTAGGCGGTTTGCATTTTAATGGAGGACCATTCTGCCATAACTCAAGGGAATGGAATGACTCTAATAGCATTTCAAACATCACTGACATGGGTACAGGAAATATATACCACAATACTTGAGATGACAATTTTCCATGTAGACTTACATGATTAGAAGCCAATATTTGTGATGTGTGAGAATAACGATAAAACTAAATTTAAAGCAAAAATCTAAGCTGTTAAACTTAATAATCCTATCTCATGATGAGAAGAATTATTTTCTCTATTTTCTTTCAGTTTCTAACTTTTGTAAAGTGATGCTGTTATGCTATGTAGCTGTTGCCACATTCCTATATGTTAACCAAGATGTCCCTCAGCTTGACTGGCTTCTTCCTGAACTGGGGTGCTTCACCTTCCTTTTCTTATGCATTTACTTTACAAAACATGATCTGCCCCTTTGAGATGTAAATCTTAAAAAAAAAAAAAAAACTTTCCTAGGGGCTGGGAATGTGGCTCAAATGGTAGAGCAAGGCCTTGAATTTAAACTCCATGCCTACAGCAAATAAATGCCACTTCTAGTTTTACAACCCAGGAATGCTTTTCTCAAAGATCTGAGATCCACTTTTTCAAAATATAGTCATCAAAAAAGATAATGCCCCTACTTCCCAGTTTCTATGTGAGGGTAGGAAGGTTGATTCCCTTAGCCACTCTGCTCCAACTTGTAAAAGTATGCCTGCTCATGAACATACAAAAGAGAAAGTTTACGTTTTACTTTGAGTAAGGCTAATTTGCAAAGATCCTCCCTCATTCTTGCATATTCTCCTGCTTTCTGTTTCAGCAGTGCTGTGTTCAGATGGAGTTCTTAGTCCCTCCCATCCTTAAATAATGTCTTGTCTATTTAACTTCACCTATCTTGGTAGTCTACACATGGATGTACTTAAGTGTCCTTATTCAATGTGCATCTCTTGCACCAAGATTGTTCACAAAACACACCTTGAACCTAAATCTGACTAAGGAAATAAAGAAACAGCAATACCTTTCTTTTTCACATCAATGGCGGTTTCCTTCTCAGTTTTCTTTTTGGCATCTTCTTTTTCTGCTGGCAAAATAAGAAAGGTGTAAGCCTCTACCTGTTTAATTCTTTTATATTTCAGGGCACACATGACTGCCATTAAGACATCCAATTCATGGAATCCTTAATCAGAGCCACAAGTCATGTCAAATAGGAGCAAACTAGCACTCTCCAAGCAGATCATAGAATTAGGTATGCTTTCTCTCTACAAAGGATAGAAATCTTTCATAAATGAAAAACTAAGTGACATTATTATGCATGGCAGAATTCAATAATTTTCTTAAAGTATATTAAAAGGAATATATTGAATGTCCCCTGAACTATCAAGTAACTGGACCAATATCAGAAGTTCTGAAATCTCTGAAGCTCAACTTGGTATAACAAATAAATTAGAGCTAGCTAAAAAGAAAAAGATAAACAAGAAATAGCAAACCATTCAAATCTTTCCACTATAAAAAATAATTACCCTTTTGAAGAATATGCTTATTAAATTAAATTATATGTATAAATAGTGGATTAGAATTGAGCATCCAGTACTAAGAATTAAAAGAATAATCAGTGTAACTTTTTAAAAGTGTTTAGGACTGGGTATGCCATGGAGAGGACATGATAGAGTTCAAAGCCATCTTGGTCTACATAGTGAAACCCTGTCTCAAAAAACTAAAAGGTATTTAGGCTTGAATTTTCTCTGTAAAAAGTTTATCAATTTCAACTTTATTTCAATATTTAAAAATCCCAAAAGTGTTTGCCAATAATGAGAATAACAAAAATTTTAAGGAAATTTCTTTTATAGACAAACAGTAACTTCACCAGTAGCATTATAAATAGATAATACTTGATTTATATATCAGACAGGTTTTAAGTTAGTTACCTTTCTTTTTTGTTTCAGAAGTAACTTTCTTTTCAGCTTCTTTCTTCTCCCCTTCTTTTTCTAGAAAAAAAGTTTTAAATATTCTAGTTAGGAAACTTTAGTACAAAAGGAAATCCAAGACTGTAGGGATTAGGTTGTCCGGATTAGAAGAACTGGAAGGAAGTATAATCATTAACTCAATTCTACCTCCAGTCAGCTTTGTAACTCTCAACAAATAATTTGACCTTATTAAGCCATATTTTCCTCATCTGTAAAATAGCACTAACTCCCTAGAAGCTAGGTGAAATATTTACCAAGTTCTCTGCACAGTGCCTAACACTATGTACATGAAACTATAGACTGTTGATGTTGTTTACAAATCATGAATTTGATAGTTTGAGCTTTCTGACTCAAGTAGTTATTTATTTAGTTCCTAACATAAGATATTAATATATAAAATTAAAATACAATTTCTTAGGTAAGATACTGCAGGTAAATAAATAAAAAATTAATTTTTATTTTCTTACGTTTAGTTCCATTAGAAATATATTAGGCCATTAATGGCATCTGTTTTAACTTAGCTGTTTGTTTCAAATCTGGCTCTCATCAACAGGCATTTACAGCCAGTGACATTTGTTTGGCAATGAGTCAGGGACAGAACTTCCACTGCCCTTTATGAGTGGCTGTATTAGCAAGAGTGCTCAATATTTGCACTCAGAGGTCATAGTGAGTCTGCATGCCATGTAGAACTTTGTGTGGCACCAATAAACTTCATGGAGGATCCCTGTTTCAGAAATCTGTTGAAGCCTTGGACTGAGGGGTAAGAAGAGCTTCAAGTACTGCCCAGCTATAAGCATATAACAACTGGACAGCACTTTTCTGGTAAGCATAATCACTTCAAATAATAGTCACATGCTAGCACATGTGAAATGTGATTTTAAAGTTTGAAGTAGCAATAAGTACAATTACTGTTGGAAATTAACTGATTTTAATCTTTAGTTGGTAATGTTATTTACTCTATACTTGAAATACCTTTTTCTTTGACATTTGTCATTTGTCTGTCCTTTTAGCTACAGATATATTCAAAGGTTTCCATTATCCAGAACTGTTATAAGATTTTTACTATGCTAAAGAAACGCAATGTGTAGTTCTAGGATGAATGCTTAAGTTGTCTATTAATGCTACATCTTATTAAATATAGGAATTAATTCATTTCTTTAAGTATAAAGCTTTTTACCTACAAGATCAAAGACAACATTTTCTTTCAATGTCAGAAGTATAATTTATAAAGAACTCTCATTCTCGACTCCTAGAGATAATCTAGTGTTATAAGGAGAAATATATTCACACTTGGTTTAAATGTGTCTATAGTGTACTATAACAGCTTGTCCAATAAGAAGTAGAAAGTCAAGAATTCAAATTTTGGTTAATTCCAGACTTAGAAACAAGCCAATTAAAATCCACATTGCCTTTTCTAAAGGATTAGACATATTAAATATGCATATCATGTTTCAAATTCTGAATGAAGACACATTTAAGTATCATTACATTCAGCTTTTCTGGGAGAAATTTTATATAGCAGGGTATTTTCCATTTTATATAAAATGCATATCCCAGGTAATGGAATAGACATTTGCTAAATATTGTCATCTGATGTATGAATCAGAAAAGGGGTTAATTAAGTTACAGGTTACTTGCAAATATTTCTTGGCCCATAGCAAATATCAATGCCATAGTCACCATAACAACACAGCTCAGTATCCAAATTTCTAAGTTTCATAATGTGGATGAATAAATATTTCATTAAAAAGTCTATGTCAAGTAGTCAATCTTACACTGAAATTCAGGTTGAAAGAGGATATTTGAGACCATAAGGTAGAAGACATTCTCTTCAGTTTTTTTAAAAGAGAGCACTCATGTGCAATAAATTCTATCCTTTAAATTAATATAGCTGGAATTTTATTGTGGTGATACAGTATTCTTGCCTTAGTTCAGATTGAATTAATGCTTCCATTATATACTCTGCCTTTGATTACAGTAATACACTGTGAGAGTCATGAATAAGAGCAGAAGTCCACAAAAAGCAAGTATAAATAATGTACTTTAATAACATTTTTATGAATTAGACCTTTAAGCTGTCATTAAAGAACCTACTTTATTCATGGTGAATTTCACTTAAAACATCAACTTCTGAAGATTCTGCACTTCTTCAAACACTTGTCTGTGTTCCATAGGTGATTTGGCAGCAGTGGAATTAAATATTTCATTTATAAATGACATAATATTTTAATTATATCCTACTGGGATATCAAAGTAACCCATGTTTCTTTTATGAAAGCTCTCCTTCCCCTGGCTTTTTTCTCCCTCAACAGTCAACAATACCCTTTGCTTCCCACATCACTATGCACTCACATACCCACTTTCCTCTATTCCAATGTGTTTGCTGTCTTGTTTGCAACAACCAGAGAACTATTAGTGCATTAAATAATATTGCTTAACACAGGGTTAGCAATTAAATGTATCTATAGGATGCTAACTAATAGCATATTGCCTTTCTCTAGTGAAAGTGCCTGAGGCTCTGAAATGATAACTCTTTCTGGCTAAGATCACAGGCAAGCCTGTTTGGGAGAGAAATCCTAACTATGATGTGAAACTCTGAGCCAACAAATATGTTATTAGCTTCTGCATAAATTAACATCAGATGAAAGAAAAATTAAATGACTTACTTTTTACTTCCTAAGCCCTCACAATGGGCTTTTCTCTTCCTTTTAAATGCTGTCATGCCATCTCAAAGCCAAAAAACATGCAATAGTTAATTACAGTTGTAAAGTTTTATAAGATGCTTGTTCTTGGCAAAACTGAGAAAAGAATGCAAATAGTTTCTTTTGTGTCTTATGTTTTGTTCCTCCTCTCTTTACCTTTCTAGCATGAAGATTATTTAAATTCTACATGTCAGATGAGTGCTTTTCTCATAACACTATATGGTCAGGATCAATGTTCTTTTGGTTCCAGTCAAGTAAGTTAGGATTCCTTTCTTTCATAGCAATGCATTCCAACATTCCTTGTCATTGTTACCTTATTTCTCTAAGAATATCAGAGATTGGCTTAGAACCCAGTTGAATGTTTGACCATGGAAAACAGTATGTAGGCTAATAAGATCAATTCCACAAGGGATTTGATTATCGACTTTGCTCATTGTTATCTATATAAGAATGTGGAGTAAAAGAGAAAACAGGTGCCGGCATTGGTGACATAGGTCTATATTCTGTCCCTGATCTTTTCTGGCTGTGTGACATTGGGAAATATTCTGCAACATACCAAGTTTCATTTTCCTTCTCTGAAAAGTGATGCTAATAAACTCTACCTTCCTGATTTGTTGTGAGGAATAAAAATGCCTGGAACAGAATGGATATTCAAGATATAATGAGAATAATGACCAGCTTTTGGCATATTAACAAATAATAAAAAAATGACTACTTAGAACCATTAGTAATTTTTCTAGGTGCAACATTTATTGACTCCTTCAGTAAATGTAAATTAACTCTTATCTTTCTATACCCAAAGAATCTGTGTCTGGAGTAATTTTTATTGAGAAACTTCACGAAAAATGGACATATGCAGAAATAAACATAGATAGTAGGGGTGCTGTGCTGCAATGAACAAGTAGATTTCTGGCTTAGTTTTGCTGTAATTAGTAACTATTGCCTTATGCAACTGTAAGTACAGCTTAGATCTTTTGTCTTCAACCATAAATGGTGGGGAAATGAGATTTGATATAGCTTAAAATTTTTTAAACAAGAGAAAAGTCCATTTTAGAGGTTTAAAATGGATGTGCATATAGGTATACAATGTCATGTGGTAAGGGTTAGGGAAAATACTTGGTTTAGCAGATAAGAAATGGAAGCATTATTGCTTTCGTTAGGGTGGATAAGGGAAAAACTTTTTAAAAATAGATAATATTTGAAAAGATTACTTTAAAAAGTAGGAGAACTTTGTGCTAATTGGAATGGGGAATTTTTTCAGTAAAGGAAACATTTATACCAGGACCCTAAAATTGGAGCATCTTAGAGATACATAAAAACTGGCATAAAAAATGAATGTGGCTGGAATGGAAGACTTAGAAGAGGAGTGTAAGAAGTGTGGCCAGAAATGTAGCAGGACCAATCATGTACACTATCAATGTTCATGGTGTGTTTTTTCCATTTCACAGTGAGTAGCATAGGAGACCTCTGGGATACTTTAAGCAGAGAAGTTATATGACTCTGGAAAACGGTTTAACAGGAACTTTGTTGCTGGGTGGTGTCAAGAGTCCGTTGGATTATGTGATCATATTGTAAAGAAGACAGCAAAAAAGGAAAGAAAAAACCTCAGCAATTTTTTTTCTTTCTTTTCCAAAAATTTCATCTGAATTATCTTTGGGACTCTCGAAGGAGTAAAAATTCATACAAACATAATGAGAGTACATCACTTTACATTGTAATTAGGTTGCTATGACAGCTAAACTCTCTAAATTGAGGACTTTGCTTGAGTTATCTGGCATAACTAAGCTGGTCTTTCAGAACCTGAATCCATTTTCCTTGCCTTGATTTTTTTTTAAATGATAGCTGAATTTTTCTTCGAAATCTGCTCTTCTCTTTATTAGATATTAACAAATAAGTACATCAATCAGCAACTCAATAATTTTCAGTGACTACTCAGCGACTTAGATATACAATTTAGTCACTTAGGTCAACAAATGTTTATTTAGCCTTTTGTTAAATCACTTGTTAGGGTCTGGACTTTTAAAAATACTCCTCCCAGGAAGTCTAGGTGTAAGCATATCACAATTACGTGAAGGACTTTGAAAGACAAGAATGAGACTCATGGAAGCCCTCAGATAGGCCCAACCCAGGAGGGCTGAGTGAAGTGAGGCAGCTACTCCTGAAGGAAGTAGCCTCAGTCTGAGTCTGAATGCTGTGTGGGGCCTGACTCAACTGAATATGGCAAGTATTATAACTAACAGCAGATGCACAATGACAGCTTATGACAAGCTGGGACTCAACAGTATAGTATCATTCACAAACTGAATATCCTAAAGGACC